TGAAAGAAGACTGAAAAAAATGAGTGAAAAATAATATGCGGACTAATCATTAAAATTATTATGACTTTTCAATAAACTGATGAAATGTAAAATACGCTTCATGATAGCAGCGCAACTGCATGCCAGAAACAGTATTCTAAACAGATTCTCGATGTCAATCAAAATAATCTGTTTAATGATGTTCCCTGGAATCTTGTCGGGAACATCCAGGATGTAATTGTAGCGTTCCTATTGTTCAATATTGTTTGATCACTGATGTTTTTTTGGTCTTTGATTAATCATATATTATGCGGATTGTATGCAGCGAGTTTAGCGGGATGTTAGAGAACACAATTTTTTACGATTTTGGTGGTTTTGGTAATTTAAAAAGTTTAAAAACGTGCAACTGATCTCGACAAATATGGGCAAATTTTAAAAATCTTGCAGTAAACCTGTTTTTCCCGATCACATGTCACCGGTGATAAGGCTGGTAATATACGATTTGCAACTTCTATTAATGAGTAATACTGTTGAGTAGCACTAAGTGCCAGGATAGCTGCCATTCTAGCAGGAGGAAATGGATCTTTGAGTGCACGAGTAAAGGCACTGATTAGGACTTGTTGACGATTAGCTGGATCAATGTAACAACCAATTTTACCGAGACAAATGGTTGCATTTGTTCGAATACCAGGTTGATCATCTGCGCCTGAACGCACTTTAAGTAATAAAATTGATACATTCTAAGATTTTCCAAGATGCAAAGCTGCTTAAAACTAAAACGAAAATCGTTCTTCAGAGGAAGTTACTACCAAGATTACGAAGGAGAAAATTCAGAATTGGAAGATTCTCTACAGATTAAGAAACAAAAGCAACGATCGCACAATACCGTTTCAATGCTTTTGAAGAAAGATAGCTGAGGAAATCCTGAAAACATCATGTTAGAGAAGCAAAAATCTTACCCTGCAATCTTGCTAAATGCCGCATTAAATCAGTGTTTAAATTTTGATTATTCAATTTATCCGCCAGCGAAACCATTGCTTTCACCGTACTTTCACGAACAGCTGGATTTGTATCCATAAAACCAGATGCAATATTCCTGAAAAGTGAATTTGTATTGAAGACAACAAAAACAGTGACTAAAACCGCGGAAAACCACACTAATTTCCAATTTGACATTCCATAACATCATCGGTATACTTATATATATTTATATTTATTTGGTAGCGGCTAAATAAATATTTAATAGTTACAGTGACTGATATAAGAATCCTCAGTAGCAATCGGACGAAAATCCAAGCATAACGCATACATTCAATGGTACGTTGGCTGTGGAACTTCGTAATAGTTTGCTTAATTACAGCAATGAAAATGTAAATCATGAGAACAAGAGAATTTTGAGAATCGACTTACAAAAACCAACCCATATATCCGTTCGTTAATAATTTGAGGCGTTAAATGAGG